AATAACATGAATTCATTTTTATTTCATTGCCTTGGTGACTAATATTCCTTCGCTGTATCTTAATATATATATTTTTTCTTTTTCTTTAGACTCTTTCTTGCATTTATTACATCATTGAGATTTATTTCAACTATCTTCCAAATTATTAATCTTATTTTATCAACTGAACTCTACTCATTTTATTCCTATATCAATGTTTACTTGTTCCTAGCCGTTTGAACTGTTGTCACAATGTTCTTTCATCACATAAGGTATATATTTACAATATTCAGTCTATTCAATTTATTTACACTTCTGCTATACTATAGGAATATGTCTTCAATATAACTTCCAATCAAACTCTTTTATGTAAGTAATTTAAACCCATTATGTAATTATGATTTTTAAATATCACAGGTTGTAAGCAGCTGACGAGAACCAACGAAATCAAAAAATGGATCCATGCTATTCTGCTAGAATGTTTGTTCTTGCTCTTTTCAATACTGAAACTGTCGTAAAAATTAAGAAACTTATCGAATTGATAATTCAAACTGAAAAACTAGTACACATTAATACAGAAGTAATGTTATTGTATAGTAACATATTTAACAGAAATACTATTTCTTAAATAGGAGTGAAGGATAAATAATCGTGTATCTTTAGTGGTCCAACGACCTTGAGATTACAGGTATCAGGATTTCAACCACTAGGGAATCGCCTGATTAAACTCCGCTTTATTTACTTCGATTTAGATAGACAAGTAGTATCGCTACTATTCATGATGAAAATAATGATAGCTTAAAGCCGAGGATATAAACCCATAATTATTAAACGAGTTATTTGCACTAAACTAATTAACTTTAACTGGAAATGTAGCTCAGTGGCTTAGGAGCCCCACTTATAACCAATCATTAACAGGTTTAAACACCCTCCATCCGCCATGGTTTAGGAAACTAAGTATTACCACTAGACCTTTATATATTGATTTATAGAAATCAAAACTGTGTTTTAAAAAAATCACAAACAGCCTAAATAGTATATAAAAAGTGAATTTAAATCGTTCAATGAACATAAAAATCTAGACGGTTTTATTATTTCAAAGTAAGCATTATCTTAGTACTCAAGCGTCTAAAGAATAAAAAAATAGAATTTGGACAAAGGAAGCGAAACTATCAGGATGTTGATAACTGGTTTTTAATCAACAATATACTACATAATATTTAAAATTTTAGCCTACGAGAAATCCAACCTATTGATTGCTTCCGAAATCAGCTGATAGCTCACGGATTAAATTCAAACGACCTTATCAAACTACTTAAATTGTTAAAAGTACGATATTTTATTATAGAAATTTGTTTCCAAGACATGAGTAAGTTGTCATTGGGTTCTACAATTCTCTGTGCGGATTAAAAATCAGAGGAAGCAATTGATTTTAACGAGAATCCATTTTGATAGATTGAGATAACAAACTTAGGGTCTTTCGTAGATCTGGAAATGACCAGCGTGAAACCTATACTTGGATCCGCTTGTACAATGATAATGTGGGAATAACATTAGTAATAAATGCAGATAAAATAGGCTGAAAGGAATAAGTAAATGATCAGAAACAATTTATCAAGTAATTTAAACAAGTGGCTAAATTACAACTGAATAGATAGTAGTTGATCAGCACAAAGAACTAGACAAACATTAGTCGCTACTCAACCCTATAAGCCATCAGTCATCCCCAAAACCGCTTATTGGTAACATCTCAGACTGTTAAGCTGAGTGACACAGGTTCAAGTCCCGATGAGAGCATCAGCTCCCGTAAAAGTGAAGATACACCCTGAAGAGTGTCAAAAGACATAAAACTCAAGTAGGACAGGGTTGCTTATCAACTGATACGATTACTAAAATCAATAAAGTGAAACGTTTGTCTAAAGATTACATAGTATACTAAATAATATGGATTAAGACACTTCTAGGAAATAAACGATTTAACAACACTAGAAAAACTAATAATTACAACTAACTGTATCCATAGTTTGATACCTCGATTTAGTCAAACATCGATCAAACGACAAATGCACGTCAATGACCGAGATTTACCTTCCTTTCCTATGGAATAAGACACACAGAATTGGTTGGAAATATGACTCGATCTTCTAAAGGATAAATGTATATAGATACATATGGATGGATGTACAGATATATCTTGATTCGATTTAATCAATACAACTTACTTCTCACTCAAGTAGCTAGTTTGAGGTTGCGCATAGGATGCTTGAGTACTCGTATCAGAATCGGACAGCATACAACAAAACATAATTATCGATAGAAATCACATTTCCAACTCCGAATCTATGATTAACGGTTTCTAACTAAATTAATAACGAACCCCATTGACCTTCATTAAACTGTCTAGAAAGTTGAATGTGACATTATCAATAACGCTTTTGCCATAAAACAAAACCGCTGGAAAGATAACTTAATTGAAACAGCTTATTACCTATTTCATATCGATAGAGCATAAAAATTATTCTAATCTCCAATAATAGTCTACTATTGATCCGTGAACATATCTAATATATTTTAATCTGTTGCATGTGAGTAGTAGCTAAACATCTAAAAAATACGAAGTACATGTTGACGAGGAACTACGCAACTATTTCAACGTAGTAAAATATGACAACTGATCATTAAAATCAGTTAAACGACTTTTACATTCCGTCAAAAAACTTAGCCTAACCCTTAAAGTGCTTAGGTATCTTTAGTGTTTACTAATGATACGATGCTCAAAGACTAGGCCTAACAGTCAGGTCTCAATTGACTGGAGAATGAGTGACCTACTAGCCAATTCCCTTCGATCACCTATGACGTTTTATCATGCTTATTTTGCGTTTATATTCTGTATATAAACATGTTATTTTAATACAGAAAAAACATTGATGTGAATATTGTCTTTGATTTTTAAACATTCCTAGCTTTAACCAATAACACATTCTAGTGAACAGATTTCTCTCGCCCACACCATATCATTGCATTCATCTACGATAAGCATTCTATATAGTGATTTTGACAGTTGAGAGTTCGCTCATCAATCATCAAAAGGCTTTCTTCATAACAACTAAGTGTAGATGGACAGAAAAATGTAGGCAAAAGCTGATTAAACTGTTGGCGAGACCATAATTCATGGACGAACCAATCAGATTCTGGATAAAAGGTCTCGGATTTCAGCGCAAAATTCATTCACACATTTGTCTAAATAGAGTTTTGGCATTTTAGCTGATTAATAGCCATCAATCGTAAATCACAATCCTTGTTCTTCACACTGCTTTATGACCCTCATTTAGCCCTAGTAAGTGGCTGAACGTTCTAAAGGTCACCCTAGCGTCACCCAAAGGTCGTTCATAAATTACAGTCTCACAAAACTGTTTCTTAATTATCTTTATTCATAACAAAAATTACAGATTCCAAACGTGTGTCACTACTGAATCATACTTTTCATGAGGGTTAAAAATAATAAAACAATCATTACCGATTGAAAGTTGAAATTTATTATGACCAACAGCCACCCCCAAATGCCCTGGTAAGGCCGAGAGTGAGGAAAGTCCACTCTCCCTCTCGAAATGCCATCACGTGGCCACGTGTATATAGCCTCTGCCAGAGAAGTCCTACTAACTGTCTTCTCGTGACGGGGATGTTGTTTACGGAAGTGAGAAGACGAAAAGCGAATGTCCGGCGCTTTAACCAGGTTGGTGGACACGGTGAGTCCACCTAGGGGAGTTGGAAAACCCTGATTCCAAACCAATGGTGCACATGGGCTGGCTCCAGTATCCTGAAGGAACAAATGGCGTATGAATCAATCGTTGGTCGCCGGCTTCCACGGGAATGCATCTCCTTACGATGTTCCACTGCCTTGTGGATGAGACCTTCAGGTCGAAGGCTCCGGGTGTGGCCCCCTAAGAAAACCACCTGCTTCGGTTTTGGCACCCGAGCAGTATCACAGCCCTCACACATATCAAATGAGATTTGTGTGGCGCATATGTATTTGGTGCCTCTTTGTACGAATATCTATGTGTTAAAATAGAAATTATGATAAAAAAATGACCAACAGGCAATGAGACTAGGGATATGTAATATATGTTAGTTTCATGAGTGAATGAAGGTTCACAGTTTCATCAACCGGTAAGCTATCTTTGCCTAATATCCTACGTTTAACCTCAGTACTGCTCAATTGGTGGCTCCATGATACATGAACAATGTCTTGAATACACATACGATTAAATATTTGTAACTTGTGAACGTTCTTCACATTCCAATGCAGTTTTAAATCCATGAAGCGAAACAGAGCGAATTGCCGTATAGTATACTCGTCCTTTGATTGGTAGATGGGAGTTTCATCTACGCAAGTGGGGCATGTTTGTAAAAGCCAAAGGAACGTTCTAAATCCGCACCAAGACTTTTTCAGACACCATGCCATCAGTGCTACAGACTCCCAAGGCATGGGAAATGCTCATAGCAATCAAATATTTCATTTTATATAATGATTCTAGGCGTTAGTGCAGATCAGTCCTGAGAAAACATTTTGTATTTAAAGGGAGAAAAACGCAATTTAAATTTCTTGTAAGGTTTCTCAAGACGTTTAGAAGACCGAATTTCGTCAACGTATTTAAACAGGACAATGTCATCTAAGTACTCCAAGTAGACGAGTGAATCTCCAAGACGAAGACTGATCCCTAAAAAGCTAAGTAAAGTATAATATCTAGGACATTCGTGACAATTTAAGTCAAAAACGGGGATAATAAGTAAACCTGACTAATACCACTTGAGATTGATAACTCTGATGACTATTTACCACCATTCCTGATTAAATCCGTAATGTCCAAACAATGAGTCTATACAAGGCTTGTATACCTTTGAGGCACAACCTTTTAATGAGAAACACAAAATATTCCAATTAAAGACTTCCGATACCACTTATGTTATATCAACATTCCAAAACCTGGTGACGAGTGAACATAAATTTACAAGTAAAAATTAAATTTAAATGGTTATATTTTTACACAAGAGAAAGAAAATATATTAATCAGTGCTATGAATGGTTACTACAAATGTACAGACGGTGAGCCGAAATATTACTAAGGTTCAGGAAAGCGTCTTAGTAGTTCAGTAATTTGTTTTGATGATAGTCGATCAAATGATCTACCTGACTTGTCAGAAGGCGATACGACTCCTGACTTTTGCATATCCTTATTTGCTCTTCGCTTATTCTAAATAAAAAACCGATAAATTAAATCCGGTATGGTTGGAACAAACCTCCGTTATCTGGACGCATTTATTGAATGTGTCTATCATTTGTGTACAAGGACGTTGATCAAAATCACTTTCTTTCAAGCAAGCTAACATTGATAACATTTCTTCGATACAGACAGCTCCTTAAATAAAAAGGCACGACGGTTATAGACATTGCAACAATGATTTACTTTTTGTCCGATCACCTTTTCCAATCACTGAATCTTTAAGAACTGGGGTCCTGCGATAATCATACTTATAGTATTGAAGGTCCGGAAAATGAGTTGTAGAGCGTTTATAAAGTTTGCTGCATGTATCTGTCAACTTCATGTGAAGATTAAATAAACTGCAAACAACCAAAAAAAGACAACAAAATTGTTGATACTTATTTTAATTTAAAATCAAAACTGTCATGACTGAAACCGTTATTTGCAGTAAAAGAGTATAGTGAACAACCTTTCGTTTCCTTACTTTGGTGATGTAGAATATGTCTGAATGCAGAAAGTATGCATGAAATTTGAATATTGGTTTATCGACGTCTAGAAGCAGTGATGGTGTATAGTGAGATGATCAAGTGAGTAAATAAATTAATTAATTCCTCAGCTAGTGGACATTCGTTAATTGAGGCGACTGGGACATCTTAAGCATGTAGAACTGCAGTCTGAGCTGTTATTGTAGGCGTTAGAAGGTTTGGGAACATTAATTGGCAAGGATATGTTAATAACCACTAGAGTATATAACTGCGAATAAAACTATAATTTATGGAATTAGCATATGATGTAGGACGGCAAATTTCGGGTTTAGGAGAAAAATTTATCTATCCGTATGGGTAAATAGCATTTCGGTATTCCAGCTGTTGTCAGTTTGTAATGAAAACCCTAGCATCTATTTTTTGCTACTAATTCTAATTCTTGACACTAATTTATGACCCTCTGTAGACTCTAGTGTGTGAGATTTTTCAGGATCAATAGCACCGCTTAAATCTCATCGTATTGTACAATAAATACTACGGCTAACAAAAATGAATACTAATACCCATGCAAAACACTTTTTTACATGATACGGTGTTACTTTTAGGTAAACATATCTCATTGAAGACCTAGAATAATAAACACTAACACTGTAATTCCAGATTCAATAAAGATGTTGAATAAACATTGGCCGAAACCCCGTAATACTGGCCTTGACGACAATAAATAGAGGCTGATTATGTTATTTTTCATGCTGCGTTATCTTAAATGACCAAAAAATCCGCAACCTTGCTCGTATTAGGTGCAAAATTATAGAAAAGTCTTAACAAATGGATTTAAACCGACTGACAACACTCGTTTATTTGCGTCAAATCGTTCAGCAGTGACTTAACAGCAGGTGTGTTGAATTCATGCCTTTATATACTTTGACGTAATTAAGAAAATTCAATCTACAAGCAAACCCACAACACGAGATCAAATGCAACCTTGAGAGACGCAAGCTTTTACATCCGCTCCTTAGAAATGGTTCAAATGGTTCAAAGGGTTGTGGACGGAATAGAAGAAGCTTTCGCTTAACAGGCTTCCGTGTCTAGTAGCAGGGGATCACCAAATCCTCCAGGCAGGAACCTAGGTATGTTAACAATAAAACAGGGAAAGATATTAATAAATCATGGTGCGATACTATCCTTAGTCCTTAAGAATAGATCAAGTTGCCTCTTAGAGGACTCCTGGGAAGTCCCTTGGACTAGCTCGGCCGGCAGCGAATTCTAGCATTTGACAACTCTTAAGGAGTAGAAGTTGTGTCTACAGTCCGTTCTGGTATGTTGTGTCTCCAGTTTTTGGGTGTTACCTCTTAGGTTAGTGTTGGAACTAAGTTTAAGTAGGTGTTTGAGAAGATGTCCAGAAGTGTTAAGGATACTATAAGCCATGGGGTCACCTCTAATACGTCTATACTTTAATGGGTAAAGGTTCAGTGAATGAAGGCGCTATTCGTAAGGTTTACATTTGAGTCCTAGAACTGATTTCGTGGCTCGCCGTTGGATGCACTCCAGGGTGTCCTTATCCTTTTGTAGTGAGGGGGGAAATACTATGTTTCCGTACTCCAAATAGGGACGGATAAAACTACTGAAGATTATATGGAAAGTTCTTCCGTCAAACTGGCCAAAAATGTGCCTCAAAGTTACCAGTGCAAGGTTTGCTCGGAAGGCATTTTTGTCACAGTTAGCGTAGGACTTTAAATCGTAGGGCACCAGGACTCCTAAATCTTTTTCGACTTGGGATGCTACTAGAGAGGAGGTACCTAAGTTATAACTGTAGTCTGCAACATGTCGCAGATGGACTACTTTACACTTTGAAGTGTTAAAGGTAAGTCCGTTATCGTCTGCCCAACTTTGAAGTCGAGTCAGATCCTCCTAAAGTGCCTTTATATCGTCTTGGTTGCGTATCTCTCTCCAAAGTTTCACGTCGTCGGCAAAAAGTAATAAGTCTGACGTTACCTGTTGAGGAAGATCATTTATACAGATCAAGAAGAGAAGAGGCTCTAGTACTGAGCTCTGGGGGACCCCACTAGGACATTCCGTAGCCTGAGATAAAGTGAAATTAACCCCTGACAGTAAAATGTCGATTTTTCAGGTATGAAGTGAGCCAATCGATTAGAGGTGGTCTGATACCCAATCATTTGAGCTTATTGATAAGACATGTATGGCTAACCTTATCAAAAGCTTTTGAGAAGTCTAGGTAGATGATATCAACCTTCCCCTTGTGATCAAGGATGTTTGTCCATCTGTCCACTGAAGTCAGCAGGTTGGTAATACAAGAGTAACCCTTCCTGAAACCATGCTGTTGAGGTGGGAAGAAAGTTAAGGACGTGAGAACCAAGAGAGGAGCTGATATAGCATCAGATCATCACTTACTGGTCGCCAAGATGAAATTGAAACTCAAGAAGCACTGGACAACGGGGCAGACAGTATCACAAAAGTTCAATACGGCATTTCTCCAGGATACTAACAAACTCAACAAATTCAAGATAGACCTCAGCAACAAGTTCCAGGCCTTTCATGATCTACTCAATGGAGAAGGAACTACTGTGGAGAGCAACTGGAAGGGGATCAAAGAGGCAATCACTTCAACATTTCATGAGGTCCTGGGTCACAAGAAGCACCACCACAAGGAATGGATCACTGTTGGTACACTGGATAAGATTCAAGAAAGAAGGAACAAGAAGGCAGCGATCAATACCAGCCGAACAAGAGCAGAAAAAGCCAAGGCACAAGCTGAATACACGGAAATAAATAAACAAGTGAAGAGGAGCATCAGAACCGACAAACGTAAATATGTGGAAGATTTGGCTACGATGGCGGAAAAGTCTGCAAGAGAAGGAAACATGAGACAATTGTATGACACCACGAAAAAACTACCTGGAAATCGCCGCAAACCAGAACGATCAGTGAAAAGCAAGGAAGGCAAGGTAATCACCAACATTGAAAAGCAACTAAACAGGTGGGTAGAACACTTCAAAGAACTGTTGAATCGACCAGCTCCACTGAACCCACCCAACATCGAAGCAGCACCCACGGACCTCCCAATCAATGTTGGCTCACCAACAATAGAAGAAATCAGCATGGCCATCAGACAAATCAAGAGTGGCAAAGCAGCAGGACCGGACAACATCCCAGCAGAGGCACTAAAAGCAGACGTAGCGGCAACTGCAAGGATACTCCACATTCTCTTCAATAAGATTTGGGATGGGGAACAAGTACCAAAAGACTGGAAAGAAGGACTCTGTAGAATTATGGTCTACTACGATATTATTACTGCTCTTATAATAGACCTAATCCTAAACTTGTAGATTTGTCATGATATAACTGCCTAATCTATAAGATCTTACGTGGAAGTCACACCATCGACTACACCAACTCACTGTAGCGTATCAATTACCAATACATAATGTAGAACGAGGTTAGGCTAGAGAAAGAACAATATATTTAATATGAATGAGATATAGGATAACATCCAGCAGAGACCACGCCTGCATGGCCGAGCCATTCCACTCGATCAACCCCAGTCCATTCAATTGGTTGTTCGCGCCTTCTCCATTGTTAGGTATTTCTCCGCGTTAAATATTGAATATCTATTTTCTGAGTAGTCTCGTGTTCACAGCTTTGTGGATTGTGTGGCTATTGTCCAATGCCACTACACTACTCTCCCACCAGAATCAACGTGATGTTGGTTCGATACCAAATTGGATGGGATCGTCGCGCGCCGGAGGTTACCAAGGATAATAAGCATCCTCCGGGTATTGGTAAGCTGAAAGATAAATCAAAAAGAAAGCGGCAGCATCTGGTCGGGAAATACATGTAATAATTTTAAAATATTTGCCTTCATGCTTAAAACGCTTGAAATGAAAATTCGGTTGAAGATTATTTGAACTATAAAAAATGAGATTATAATAATAATAATAATAAAACGATGCGTGTTAATAACTTGACTTATAGGCAGTAATTATTTTGTGTTTAGAAATATTAAAATAATGAATATTGTAGAAATGTTAATATTGGTATTAGTTTTGGTTTAAATTATGAAATCGGATAACGATTATGCCGGTAAGTTGTCCATAAGAGTTGATTTCCAATTGCATCTGTATCAGTAGGCTAACTGAAGGAACAAAAGTATTACCATGGTAAAGAATTCCAACTAGTGTTCCAGTTAGTTTGATACGGTTTATTTAGTTACGGGGAGATTTTCTCAACCTCATTTTTAATTGACCGTGATAGAATTTGGTAATACTACTAATACACATGAATGGTTACCAAAATAAAATTTAAATACGTGAGTGATGATTATATGAATTTTGGACAGATAGCTAGGAACAAATCGTTAAACATGAGCGTATTCGTAAGAGACATGCTCTAGACTCAATGTTCTGATCTGTGGCAGACTATTTATTTGTATTTATACTTGCCGGCTGATTGGGCATACAAGTTAGTTGCAAGTATGCAGTTTATCATAAGGCGGAACACGATTTAATTGAGATATAGTGGTTACAAGTTATTAAAATCAGTTAGACCTGTGTCATATTACGAAGTGATGTGGTGCTGCAAAATGTATTTAGCTAAATAAGTTTTTACAAGATGATTAATAGTGAGTGATGCTCATGTGATTATCAGGGAGAACATAAGTTGTAACCAGGGGGAGTACACTCCCAACTCATGCCTATGATAATGGCTTGAACCTTAGTCAGTGTTGGGGTAAATTCGACATTGATGTTTTCAGTTTTTTGCAGGAGATTTGCTCGACTGCTTATACTGATTATTTGCATGCATGATTGTGTCGCTAAACCATCAATTAGACTGACAAGCTTTTGAGATATTTACTGAATGAGCAACTGATAGAGAAACATACTGTAATCATCTGTGATGGATGAAGATACCAAGAAAACAACACCATTTAATAGTAATTATAAGTCAATTTGTTGACCGATTTCGTTACTAGTTTCATTAATTTTATCAGTCATATTACGTGATTGTCAAGTTATGACAATGCTTTATGACGATATCCTGAAACTATTAAATTTAACTAGTTATAGTGTTGATTAAGGATTAGTCAGTGAAAAAATAGGTATTGTTGCTTTAGGTGATTCAAAATCATCAGAAATTTATAACGTTAAAGAATCCGAGACGCCTAATTTAATTATAAATTTCAATTCAGAAATATTCGTTTAGTGTTCATTCTAGTAGGCTACTGAGTTTTGATTTTAAACGTTTGTTTAGCCAACAGCTACTTGGGGATTTAGTTATTTCACTAGTGCAGTTGATAGTACCTAAATTTTTAATCTTATTATCTAAACTATGTTCGCATTTTAGGCTGCTAATATGATAAACCAATCCATAAACCCAAATACGATTAGCAACAACGACTATGATGGGTTTATTGATAAATGTTAAAGGCGATCCAGATGATTTCTAAATTTAGAAGACATGGAGATATAGTGTAACGTATGTATGGGCCAGGTTAACATGCAGGTCGTTGACGTTAAACATGACCAGAAAATAATTTTAAAGTTTAGACTGCTTGTGAAACTTCAGGCAGGAATATGATGCGTTATAAACATTCCAAAAGAAGTTACTGCATTTAGCCTAGGGACACTTACAAATATATAGCAAAAGGAACCGGAAAACATATACATGTTAAGTAAAAAAATCATCCAGTAAAATAGTTGAACTCGCCTGGATTATTTTTGAAAATTAGATTATTCAGTGAACGACATATATAACGCCATTCGTGAGGAGTAGTAATGATCCAAAAGCATCCAGAATAAAACATACAGTATGGCAATCACTTCCAGGGTGCTTGATGCTGTTGAGGTCTTTGGGATTCGCTCTGATCAGAACAACTGAATGAATCCAGATAATTGTGTGTGCCATATAAAATGAACTTATGATTGCAGAAAACTTATAGCTGGAACTCACCGTATGTTTTTGGAGTAGTTATCTTCGTTGTTTGGCAATGGAACTCGA